GCCTTCTCAGCTTCAGTGGCGAGGTTGTCGTAGAATCGTCTTTTGTCCTTCCTAGCACTCTTCTTCACTTCTTTGTCCAGTGCTGTGTAAGTTGAGCTCAGCGTCTCCTTCTCCTGTCCGTCCTTGCATTGAATCATTTTCTCTTTCACCATTCTCCTCTCTTCTATTAATTTCCAAGTGTCCGTTGAGAGCCATTCCTTGTCTTGTCTCTTCTTTCTTCCTAGAACCGTTGAACACGTTTCGTTGAGAATCGCCTTCAGAGACTTCCAATGTTCTTCCACGCATGATTCTTCAGTGATGTCGCGTAGTGTTTCCTGCTTTGCTCTGACAGTTGCAGTGAAAGTGTCTTTTGTGGTTGTGTCCTTCAGTAATTGAGTGTTGAACTTGCATTGTGGCCTATCCCCAGCTATCCTCGAGGCTTTTAGTTTCACCTTGAAAGTCCCTTTTACTAGATAGTGGTCTGAACCCACATCTGCTCCTCTCCTTGACCTTGTGTCCAGTAGGCTCCGTCTCCACTTTCTTGAAATTGAGATGAAGTCTATTTGGTTTTTGGTGTTTCCATCTGGTGAAATCCATGTCGTCTTGTGTATATCCTTGTGTTTGAACACACTACCACCAATCACCAAATCATTGAAGGCGCAGAAGTCTGAGAAGAGTTCACCATTGTCGTTCATTTCACCGAGGGCCTCACGACCCATGGTGAGTTCTCTTCCTGTGTTGTCTCCTCCCAGCTTCGCATTCATGTCGCCCATCAGGATTTTGATATCGCCATTTGGGACGTTGTCCATTATTGCTTGTAGTTGTCTGTAGAACGCCTCCTTCTTCTCTTGTTCTGAGACGTTTGTAGGCGCATAGCATTGAATGACTGTAACTTTCCTTCCTTTTGAGTTGAACCTGGCTGTCATTATCCTGGAGGAGATTGGTTCCCACTGCATGAGAGCTTTGGCTGCTGTTGGTGACATCATGATGGCCACTCCCTCGGTGTGCTCGTGGTTGTCCTCTGGGTGGCCGGAATGGATTACTGTCTCTCCAGTAGGTAGTTGGCACCTTCCAGTTCCGTTCCATCTGCTTTCGCAGATTCCCAACACTTCTATTCTGTACCTTCTCATTTCAGCGGCTATCTGGGCAGCCTTTCCAGTTTCGTACATTGTGCGAACATTCCAGGTACCCATCCTTACTTTTGCTTTCATCGAAAGAAGGCACATCGGCTGACTGGCTTCCCGAAGGCTTTCACCAGCCTGCGTCATTTCACTTCCCCGATTCCAGCGAAAAGTAAGGCTATTGCTTATGTTTTTAGAATTTTTAATATATTTATTCGTTGAAGTTTCTGTAGCGATTTGGTTGTTTTACGGGGGTGGAGTTGCTAGCACCACGCCCCAACCCTCCCATTTTACCCGGGCTTGGGACCGGCTAGACAACTAGGAAGCTAGTAGCCTAGCAAGCTAGTAATCTGGCGAGGTTAAGGTCATCTATAAAAATGGTCAAGGGCGCTCATTGAAATACTCTGAGTGTATAGCAATTCATAAACTTAAGCCTTCCTTGTGTATTCAAAAACTGTTTGTTATCAATTTAATAATCCCGATTGTAGCATTAAGAACACAATTTTCAGCGAAGAGACTCCCTCCAACAACGAATTTATTATCAGGCTGTACAATCGTAAATATATGGTTTTTTATTTAAGTAATTATATCCGGTGAGGGAATTAGGTCAAAGGTGTGAATACATGAAATAATAATAATAATAGTAGTATGAAATGCAATTAAAATATTTGTGATTGTAATCATGGTTTAATGTCAAGTGGCAAAATAATTAATGTCATATATAGAATAATACATAAGGTGTATGGATATCGTTGGAAAGGGGTGTATAACTATAGAGTTAATAGGCTAGTATAAAATGTTACATAACATGGTGTGAAATCTGATAAGATAGAATTCAATATTGTAAAAATGAAAAGTAAACAAATTAATAATTTTGGGTTTAAAATGTCAAGTGTGCCAAGTGTAAAATATTCAGAATGAAAATAGTAATAATAATAATAATGAAAATAATCGAAGTAATAAGGGTAAAGTACTTAGAATAACTAAATAAACAAAATAAATAAATATACAATTGGTGGATGGTGGCTAGCAGTGGAATCCAGGATGCGCATTTCGTCCTATTTGGAACTCGTCAGCTGGATGTACGTGCATTTCTCAGTGAGTGATGACGTTCCCACCGAAGCGCGAACCCAGTGCCCATAGTTTCAAACGCCAAAGCGTTATCCACTAGACCACTTGGGCCACGAGAGCCACCTCTTGTGCAACGGGTCATATTAATTATTGAATTGAATTTTAGATTTTCCTGTCGATTGATTGGACTGAAGTGCTCGGTCTCAGGTTGACATGTCGGCCCAGACATTGTCGAAGCATCTGCACAAGAAGCCGACATGTCAACCTGAGACCGAGCACTTCGGTTCAATCAATCGACGGGAAAATCAGAAATTCAATTCAATAAAATAAATAAATGTCTATTCTTATACGGCCAAGGCAGAAGGAGGGATTGTACATACTTCTTTTGTACACAAAGGTCCGGCTGGCTTAAAGTCATGAATTGCCAAGTTTGTTATTACTCTTAAGCTACCTTGGTAATCCTTATTTGATTCGATTACCAAACGTTTGTGTTAATTATTCTTAATTCTTTTTTTTGTCACTTTGTTTAATTTCGCAGGCCGACCATTAATATCGGGTGTGCGCCGGCAGGGAATCGAACCTAGGACTATGTGCATGGTCAGCGAGAGTCCTAACCACTGCCACCAACTCAGGTACCCCAAGAAAAAATTAATTTCCACGGTATGGACAGCCAGGAAGTAACAACCGCTCACACACACACTTGCAAAAGCACACCAAGCCTGGTCATGGTTCTAGGGATGGTTAAAACTAATGAAGGCTTAAGACAATTGGTGGCATGGCTCAAAATCATTCTCAGTGACACAGATGCATCCACTCCCTGTGATTTGTCGTATCCAATAAAATTCTATTCCTCTTCCATATAACTAGTCTTTGGTCTTACATTTCTGTTTATCATCTCTCTTTTGAACTTCCCTTTACTGTTTGTGTGGTACATGGAGGGAGCGTGGCAATTATTCAAACTGGTGCATATCTGTGCAAAGTTGCTCTACGCTGAAACCAGCCAGCAAGTCTTCACTGTGCCTGTGTTCGTATCTCCTATGCATCCGCACAGTATGATACCCACTACTGAGGGCCTACTTGAATTACTAGGCCACCTGTATTTCTATCTGAGATACAGTGCATTTTATTTTCTTTAGTTATATTTGTTATAATCATTCAGTTAAATCTGCTAGTCTGAGAATGTACTCATTCATGCACAGTTTCAATTGGTTTGCAGTCGCATATCTTTGAGTATTTCTGTAGAGGTCAAGGAAAAATACCTTAGCGTCACATGATCAACTGGAGGTGACTGTTATGCTTGAAATCCCCTGGATGAAGAGTCAATATTATGCAGTAAACTATGCTGAATTCCCTATTAGTTTGCTTATTAGGTGTATCATACAGTGAAACAGTATTAGTATTTACTGGGTGACACAGTTTCGAACAAAATTTATAACTGTTCCTAATCATATCATCAATTATAATCACAGACTTTGAAACTTGAGTTTTATAGTTTCTTTTATTCTCTCCTATTTGTCATCGTAGGGTTAGTAGAATTCTTCAGATATCCGAGTGGGTGGACAGGTGTTGAATCATTCCTAATACACGTATTTCCTCTCAGTTGATTCGATAAATCAAGCTTCCCTTATCAATCTCTCCCTCCAGCCTGTTACGTTAGACTTTAAAACTGATATCTTATCCCATCCTATTCTATTGTATGGTTGTGTGTAACTGCATGTAGTAAGTGGTATACCTGAACTATTCTCTAGATTTCTTATCTTTTTCGGGTCAAATAATCTACATTTTGCTAGGTTTTTATGCTCCGCTAGTCTGACTGCCCCTGTTCTACTAGTTTGAACTATGTATTTCACCTGAAAATCATCGCAGACAGAGTATTAGGTAAACTAAATTGTTTTGTTTAATTGGCTCCACTCGGAGGATCCTTTAACCGACAAAGCTTGTATCTAATTGAGTTTGTGGGTGGTTCGAATGCCAGCCACTTTCCATATTCCTGCCTTGTTAAGAATTCTCGCCGTAAGGTGGTTTCCGAGGTTCCTTCCTTGTATGGAATTACTACTGATGATTTAGATTCCTAATTGATGGTGTTGTCTTGAGCACTTTTGACATGCATGTCGTCAATAACACTATTGTTGTTATCGCTATCACTACTATCATAAGGACGGGAATTGATACACATAAAAGAAGCCTTAAAACTTGATACTTACCCTAATAAATTAGTCAGGAAATATGTAATGAAACGCAAAAATAAAATATAATAAATCTAGAGAATAGTTCAGGTATACCACTTACTACATGCAGTTACACACAACCATACAAAAGAAAAGGATGGGATAAGATATCAGTTTTAAAGTCTAACGTAACAGGCTGGAGGGAGAGATTGATAACAACGGAAGCTTTGTTTATCGAATCAACTGAGAGGGAATACGTGTATTAGGAATGATTCAACACCTGTCCACCCACTCGGATATCTGGAGAATTCTACTAACCCTACGATGACAAACAGGAGAGAATAAAAGAAACTATAAAACTCAAGTTTTGAAGTCGTGTAATTATAAGTGATTGGTATGATTATGAACCACATTAAATTTTGTTCGAAACTGTGTCACCCAGTAAATACTAATGCTGTTTCACTGTGTGATAACATCTAATAAACAAACTAATATGGAATTACTTACTACTACAGTGCTCAAGTTTTACACGTATATTAATAAAACCCTACTGAAAATTATGCATCCTGTGTAAACATATTGTGCATAATAAAGTTATTGCTATTATTATATGCGTACTTTTTAACAACCTTCAATTGACCATTCATCTTTCCATTCATAGGTGAATGAAGTAACCGCTAAAATTGAACAGAAAAAGAAGGAACTAGAACGTCTCGCTCAACGTGAACATCAAATTCATGAAGAATTTAAAGCCAGTATAAGTGATTCACATAAATTTGCTGAATTTCTTACAAAAGTGTTTAAAAAAAGGATAAAACGTAAAAAACAAGAAGTATTTCATTCTGGTAAGTAGTATTTTATCGTTTTTGTTGCTTTTAGCTTTTAGGAGTATAGCCACGGATTGATATCTGTCTGTCTGTTATCGACATAGAACTTTGCACCGATGTGCGACTGCTCAAGTCGCCACACTTCCTCCATGTAGCACACAAAACAAGAGAAGAAAATAAAAGCAAGGTATAATAGAGACAGCAAACAGAGGTGTGAGACAAAGGAATAGTAATGACGAAGAACAATATAGTTTCACTGGAAATCATAAGTCACAAGGAGTGAATGCGTCTGCGTCAGCTATTGAGAACGATCACTTTGAGGCATATCACCAATTGTTTCCAGCGTTCATTGGTTTTCACCGTCCCGGGGACCCAACCAGGAAGTCTACATCTTCCTATGTGACTTAAACTAACTGTTGTATATTTCATTGGCTGACGAGCCCATGTTTTGATTTGACCATCACTAGCTCTTTTCCAGCCTGATCCCATGTCAGCTAACATTGCCCACTGTCGAGGAACGCGATGGCTGGCTTAGGCATACGTAACACATGTCCTAACTATCTCAGTCAATGTGATTTCGCAGCCTCGTCGATTGATTTCCCCTCCCAACTATCTAACACTCGACCGAAGCCTAACCTCAATATTGCTCACCTTATTATACCACTTCACATGGGAGATAGAACGCAGGCACCTGTGATCGAAGACAGCTTATCTTTTCATGTCTTCCACTCTCAGTGGCCAGGTCTCACAGCTAGCCATTAAGGAGGACGGAGCGGACTGATGAGCAGTACACCCGCCCTTTGGTCTATAGCAGGATATCACGTCTAAGCCAGATACAGCGTTAACTGCCATATGCGAAACTAGCCCTCTGTATCCGTGCAGAGATTTCGTCACAGATCAACCCATTGGGGCCGATGGCACTTCCCAAATAAGTGAAGCGGTCAACATGCTCTACCACTTCACTTCCTATTTCTAAACTAGGAGTCAATCTAGTCCAGTCCTGTAACATCATCTTACATTTCGCGACTCAGATGTGAACTTTATTCCCTTTACTGCTGGTGAGTTTATACGTGTGAAGAAGCTGGAGATATGTTCTGATATTAACACTGTGTGTGAAAGTGTCATCCACATATTCCTACTATAATCTCGGAGTAGGATTAAATGTGTTTAGAGCAATATTCTCCCAGCTGTCATTCATAAATATATCTGCTACGATAGGGGATATTGGTAATCCATCCCACTGCTACAACTTCTGTTTGTCTGGATATTTTGTTTTGGAACCAACAGATAGTAGATGTGAGCCATAACTGAATTCCCAAAAATAATTTCGTCACTGGTCAGCTTTGTCCTATCAAAATAACATCTTATCCATAAATAGAATAATTAATCATAGGGAAATGTATATCAATTGAGACACTCATTATTTAATGTTTAAGTTGTTGTAAGTAACTTACCATCCATGTAAATCCCATAAGCTATCAATAATTCTACTAATAAGGTTTAAAAGATCACATCTAAACGACCTACTTTTATTGTTTCACAATTGTTATCACAATTCTAGACGAATCACAATCAGAAGAGTCTTCATCCTCGGATGAATCAAGTTTTGGTGAATCAGAAGATGAGAGTGGTACAGAAGATGTTGCTATTATGGATTTAGACACTTGTCCACCTGGATGTCCTGTAGAAGATTTTGAACACACGTGTTTAATCAGAGAAAAACGTTTAGATGTTGAAGAAGAAATGGCTGAAGAGAAGAAAGCACTGGAGTTGTTAAGAAAAGATTTGGAGACATTCACTAAAAAACAACGTGTTATCGAAGCAGCGCTTAAACAAGCTCAAAGTGAATTAGAAGCTTTCCAGGTAATTACAATGTGTTTCATTTTAGTCTATTAACCATGGGTGGATATAGTTGTTCCAAAAAATCTGATTCGCTTTTAGTGTTTTTCGACAAAATGGATTCTGAACAAAGAGTACTCTTTTCGATAACCCCATTCATCACCAGGCTCTACAGTTATATATCCATACATTGTAGTGAATGAATGAATGAATTAGTGTTCTGAACAACATTAGTGCTGTTTAAATAACATCGAATCAATAATAATAATATCAATAGATTACAGCTCCATAGCATCAACATAAAATAAGCTGAATGTCAGAAAAATTCGGAAAGATAATATTACAAATTCATGAATTTATAGTCTCCACTGAAGGCCAGGGCAGTAGTAGGGGCTGGCTGGACTTGCTTCTTTTGAACACAGAGCACTGGTTGTTTGAGGTGAATTGCAATAGCCTCTGCTGTTTGCAGCATGCTGTGCTTGGATGATTTTGGCAATTTATTAGACAACCGGTAGATTATAGAGAAGGATTCTTCAGTGCTAGCTGGATTTGTGGCCAGTCGGTTTGCACCAGAACGCCCAAGATCAATCTGTTAATGGTTTTAAATACACCTTTACTTAGCCATAGTGAGAGATGTTCTCGAGTGAGCACGAAAAATCAAGTTCCTAGGGCAAAGGGCAATATAACTCGGTCCACCGCAAGCGCAGTTGAATTGGTAGACACAATTGGAAGTGGCTAGCTAGTCTAGGTACTTCATCTTTCAGTCGAGGTAGTACCATCGGTCGTGTAGAGAATAATACGTGTCGTTCGCCAGCAAAAAAAGTTCTTTGAACTGATTTTCTTAATTTCCTCTTAATTTTTCTTTATTTTGGTGTTTTGCTGACTGAAATGTCTACAAATGAGCCCATTCAATAATATATATATATATGTTGTATTGGGTACCACTGGTTTAATGGTCTACGAGCTCACTGGGCTTTTAAACAGAAGGTCATGGGTTCGGTTGTTGGCGGTGGTTGCGTACTGAGGAAGAGCCACAAAGTGAGACAAAGCGATTAGCTTTCCACTACTCTCAATGATACTAAATAAGGGTATCATATAAAGAGTACAGTAATACAGTGTACTGACAACTAGATGCCGTTCATAAACGTGGTGCTAGCTGGTCTAATTATCTCCCCGCGATGATTATCAGGTCAGATACATAGGTCGAAAGAGTAGAACGGGGTCAGGTAGACTAGCGGAACTCAAAACCTTGCAAAATCTGGATTAGTTGACCCAAATAAGCTGAAGAATAGTTCAGCTGTAGCACTCAACGACGGACTGGTTTCAACATAGAACTTTGCACCGATGTGCAGCAGTTTGAGTCGCTACCCTTCACTCAGCACACAAAGCAAGAGACGAGAGTAAAAAGAAATGCAAAATAGAGACAGTAAACAAAGATACGAGGCAAAAAGAATAGTAATGTCGAAGAACTATACAGTTTTATTGGATTTTATAAGTCATATGGAGTGGAGGCATCTGCACCATTGAGAATGATTTTGACCCATATCACCAGTTGTCTCCATCCATTGGTGTTTACCGTCCCGAGGACTTCAACCGGAAAGTCTACATTTTTATCACGTGGCTTAAACTAACTGTGGTGTATTTCATTGACTGATGAAGCCATGCTTCGGCTTGACCACCGCAAGCTCTTCTCCAGCCTGACCCTATGTCAGCTAACGTTGCCTGTTGTCGAGAAAGGGGATAGATGGCTAGCAATGCATGCGTAACACATGTTCTAACCATCTCAATCAATGTAACTACACAGGCACATCTGCTGATTTCCCCTCTTTACCTAGCACCACACAAATATGCATATAATAAGATGGGATGGAATAAGATGACAGCTTTAAAGTCTAATGGAATAGGTGGGTGCAGGGAGAGATTGATAATGGAAGCCTAATTCATCATTGAATCAAGTGCGAACACGTGTAATAGGAATGATTCAACACCTGTCCACCCAATTGGACATCTGGAGAAATCTACTACCCCTACGACGACAAATAGGAAAGAATAGGGAAAACTATAAAACGATAGCTATGATTATGGACAATAATAAATTGTGTTCCAAACTGTGTCATCCAGTTAATAATAATGATACTGTTTCACATTGAGTGTGTGTGATACATCATCTATCTAATAAACAAATTAATATGGAACGATTAATTATTCATTAACGTATTATTGTATTCAAACGACCTGATAACATACTTTTAATAGCCTACCACCCAACACGTTCTTAATTACGGTTTCCCATATATGCGGTTTAAGTGTTGCATCATTTCAATTGTATGTGTTGGTTTTGAAGAACAAAGATTCCGCGATTAACGTCTCTTTCTCTCCCTCTCTGTGTCTAATTACACTGCTGTTTAGTAATTCTACGCTGTATTAGATAGTAAAGACCAAAAGGTTCAGCAAACTGATGTCTTATACATTTATTCCCCTCAATGAATTTGAACAAAGCAAGAACTACAGTTTTTGCAGAATAAAGTGGTACTGTGGTGAGAGAAGGCCGTGAGAAAACATGAGCAAGGCTGATTCAACAACCAATCACAGCAAAGTTAACGTGGCAAAATATGATTCGCAGATAGAGAACTCTGTTTGTCGAGGAATCCCGAAACAACCAATCAGAAGCCTGCGTTTGTCTGCCTAACTTCTGATAAACAACCAATCAGATGACTGCGCTTGTCTACTTGCATAAGCTATAATAATGTACATAAAATATATATAAATACGTGTTGATTTCCGTAATAAAACGATCTGTTGCCGGCCCTTGTCTTCTGTTGTTACAGTACCATCAGTGTTTATTTCGTTGCATTCTCGTCAGCTGCTTACAGGCAAAAGACACTATTAAATATATCTACAAAAACAATTTTAGCATACTTGCACAGCGAGTTCATTTTAAACAAAAATCAATCGATAAATATATATGCATACACTAAAAATACATACATATATAAATATGCAATATTAAACACTATTCCGAACAACAATAATAATCATACACAATGGAAACTTCTCAGCATTTCCCATTCAGATGAAAGAGAGATGAAAATATCCAGTTACCAGGCAGAGCAAAGAAAGACTGATAACCGCTTCTTTCTGAATGCATAAATCAGGTTTCAGATGCTTGATAAAAATGACTTCAGGAATCTTAAGGAGAATTGAGCTCTTTTTCCCATTGATAATTTTGAACGACTTTCCGACGTCCACCTCATGACCTGTTGTGTCAAAGAGATGCCCAGCAATGGCACTGTTTAACTCCAACTGTACATAAAAATTTTACATGTATCTGCGGGAGCAGTTACATAGGAAGGAAAGAAAGAAGAGCATATCCACGATTTTCGGAACATGTACCAAAAAGCTTATGTATAAAAGGGAAAAAATGTTTTAAACAGTGCCGTCGCCAGGCATCTCCACGACACGGGTCATGAGGTAGACATCGAAAAGTCGTTCGAAATTATCCATAGGCAAAAGAGCTCAATTCTACTCAAGTTTGCTGAAGCTATTTCCATCAAGCGCCTGAAACCTGATTTATGCATTCAGAAAGAAGCGGTTATCAGTCTTTCTTTGCTCTGCCTGGTAACTGGATATTTTCATCTCTCTTTCATCTGAATGGGAAATGCTGAGAAGTTTCCATTGTGTATGATTATTATTGTTGTTCGGAATAGTGTTTAATATTGCATATTTATATATGTATGTATTTTTAGTGTATGCATATATATTTATCGATTGATTTTTGTTTAAAATGAACTCGCTGTGCAAGTATGCTAAAATTGTTTTTGTAGATATATTTAATTTTTTTTTTTTTGATTACAGCTTGATCCCACACTGTATTTTTGGTACAAGTGTGGAATTTTCAGCGTGGATATCGGTAGCCCGAAATTTGCAGGCCGACCATAGATATCAGGTGTGCGTCGGCGTGGGCTCGAACCTCGGACCATGTGCATGGTCGGCGAGAGTCCTAACCACTGTGCCACCGACGCACACAGTAAGCAGCTGACGAGAAGGCAACGATAGGCAACTATAGAGATTTATCATTTGGTCGTTCTATGGTTATTAGTTTTCTACGGATAAATCTATAATGCCCTACTGTGTGATTATATGCAAGTGAATGCAATGCATTAGGTGAGCTTTTTTTCTAGGTTATTTAACTTAACAGTGTCAGTAACTTTAGGTCTAGCCTAATTCTTTTGTTTCAATAATCCAATTGACTTTGATCTACTGGTTTGACCTAAGTAATTGACCTTAAAGTTATTAAATAGTGTTTGGTAAATTGTTATTATTATATTTCTTAATTGTATCTATCGTTTTTGTTAAGACAATAAAGTTTATCTGTGAATGAGTTGGTTGGTTTAAATGCCATCCTTGTTATTTCCAACCTCATAAAGTGGCCTAATTTGGGGCGTCTTGTGTTCGTTCTTTATACATTAGTACTAATAAGGCTTTACAGAAATGCATTCACTCCTATATAATCACATAATAGCGTGGGACAGAGTGAAGATATTAAAAAGTAATATAGTTAGGCGATACAGAGAAGTTGGCAAGAGAAGGCGTCAGTTAGAGAACCATTAGAGAAACCTGGAAGAGACTACTGGATAGCTGCTTCGTAATAGTTTGATACTTTTCAGCAGTACGCACTCGCCATAGGCGATTCAAACCCAGGAAATTCTGGTCACAAAGCCAGAGAGCTCGTAACGTTATTATGGATAGGATTTTATTTTGATAAATCACATATTGTTATACAGTAATATTAACTGATGACTACATATCAAACACAAACTATTGCCACTCATATTCATATCAAGTTACTCACACAACTTAACTGTTAAGGCAGGCTTAGTTAAGTGTCTAACAAACCGGGTCATAGCACTAAGTGGCACAAGAAAAGACCTAAATGACGAAATAAAACAGATAGAAGAGGCGTTGGTGTTGAATAACTATCCCATAAAATTCATTAGGAAGATCGAAAAAGGCGAAAATCAAAATAAAACTAATTATGTAACTAGTAATAATAACATAAATAAGAGAGAATATAAGTCATCCAAAGTTATACCATATAAAGAGGGGATATCTGAGACCGGCCCCAAGTGGGATTCATAATGAAGCAGGAATTAGGGTGGCAGCATTCAAACCTGCAAAATCACTCAGGTAGGACAAGCTCTGTAGGTAGGTTAAAGGACCCTGTAGATTGACCCAATTAAACAAAATAATATAATTCTCAAAATATCTCGCAGTGACTGTAAGTTGAGTCAACTACGTACGTCAAACAATTATATTGGGAATAGTCAGATTATCAGAACATAAGAATTTAGCTTAGGTGAGAATGGTTGACCCCGAGAGGATAAGTAATTTAGAAAAAAGGTCAGCACTACATTGCCCTGCATGCATTAACACACAACCACACAATAGGGTGGGAGAGGGTTAAAATTCTAAGAAGTAATCTATGTAGGTGGAGAGAGAGAGAGAGGTTGATTACGGAATCCTTGTTCATCGAGTCTACACCCAACACATTCAACAGAAATGACTCAATGCAAATACCAGAAATATGGAAGATATTATTACCGCCAGTCAGTCAAATCAGAAGAGGATAATAAATAATCATAAAATTCTTTTTCAGTTCAAACACATCACAACACTCTAACAAGTAACTTATTATGACTATAAAAACACCCGTCGTTTTTCCCATCTGATTGTATTTTATTGATAACACTCATATAATTATTATTTCTGAATGTACATACATCTCATATTGAATTTTATTCCAATATCTTATCGGTTCCACACATATATATAAGTGAAGGAAAAAGTTGTGTGAGTAACTTGATATGATTATGAGTGGCAATAGTTTGTGCTCGAAACGAGGTCATCAGTTAATTTTGTAACAACAGAAGACAAGGGCCTGGCAACAGATCGTTTACTAAGGAAATCATCACATATTTATATATGTTCATGTACATCATTATAGATTATTGTTCGCAGAAAAACACAGTCAGTCTCCTGATTGGTTGTTTCTCACGGAAAGTTAACCTTCCATCTCTCTGTGGCTGTTTCTTGAATGTCATATCAGCTATATGTCAACTGTATCCGCCTACGCAAACAAAGCCTTTGTTCTCATTTTTCTCACGACCAATATTTGGGACGGAAACATTGACGTAAATTACTGTCCACCAATTCTGGCTAACAGCCAGCTCTCACCACAATACCACTGTATAACATCGCTGTGTGATTTATCAAAATAAAATCTTATCCATAATGGAGTTATACTCTACCACCACAGTGCCAAAGTTTTATACTTGTACAAGGGAGCTCGTAAACCATTAAGTCACTGGGACCCGATCTAATAGCCAGTCGATGAATTCCAACTTATACTGATTCACAACATACCGTAACTACTTCGCAATGTCTCCTTCGATGATTTACTGCCTCACCTTCAACCTGCTGTACGCTACTACTGGTCACGGCTTCCCACTAGAACCTCAGGTAACTACTTGCCTTAACAGGGTCAGTCGCTAGTTCACATCAGATCAATTTCCATTTATTGGTTTTGTAAGAATTTTGTATAATTGATTAGAGTATTTCATGATAAGCTTCCATCAGTTAGAGAACCATTAGAAAACCACCTTAGAGTACTGAACAGGTGTTTCGTCCTAGTCTATGACTCTTCATCAGTACGCACCTTAGACTTTCTGATTCTGATTCTGTCAACGAAAGTATAACCCTTTTTTTTGTAATCTCTCATTGTGTAACACATTTCTCTTTCTTCTATTGTATTTCAGTTAGAGAAACAACGTAAATTAAATGAACTAGAAATTATTGTCATTCTTCGATTAGATCAAATACATCACTATACAAATTTTTCTGTCCCATCTGATATGACTAGTAGTTTAATATTTCTACGGCATACTCTACATGCACTGCGTAAACGTATAAAAGAGTTAGAAGAAGAGAAGAAACATCAACGGGTTGAAAGAAAGCAAGCGAAAGCTCGACATGCAATGCTACAAAAGCATAAAAAACTATTTCAGGTAAGTTATTCCTATGCGTGTGCTTTTCGCCTGAATAATTTAAGCGTTACTCTGTTTGATTATGAAGTCATTTGGTTGGTTTCCCTACTAACATGGACAAGATTTGTAGCTCAGGTGGATGATTTTTAATTAGTAGTCTTCTCTGAGGAACTGGTTGGCTTAATTGAGGGAAGATTTCGTCGTCTCCTCATCTAGACAAACATCCCCTTTCAGCGCTAGTTTTAGCATACAATGAACTCATTTGAAGTCTTGATTATTGATGATAGAATTGTGTATCCTGGCGACCATCTTCATGACTGGTAGTCGATTTAAATCTCTACTAATAATCATTTTTTATTGATTTGGATTTCAACCTTTCTTGTTACATGATTTACTTTTTATGAAAAGTCAATCTGAACGAAGAATATTCTTTATTGGATTTAATTTTTTTTTGATTTTCCCGTCGATTGATTGAACCGAATTGCTCGGTCTCAGGTTGACATGTCTGTTGGCTTCTTCTGCAGATGCTTCAACGATGTCTGGGCATTTAATTAGTATACAATTGATGGATGGTGGCTAGCAGTGGAATCCAGTCAGGATACACATTTCGTCCTATTTGGGACTCGTCAACTGGATGTACGTGGATTTCTCAGTGAATGATGATGTTCCCCACCCGAGGCTCTTTTCAATAATTTCTCCTCTTCAGGTTCTTACGACTATAATATATGGTATTTGCTGTCGTTACAATAGTGATAGCCAGTTAATGATGAGGCGAATACATTTTTAACGTAGAATAGCAGATTAGTAGTTATGGGGTGTCAAAATAAATAGTTGTGTTTGTGTGACAAACGTGCTCTGAGCTGAAATCGATTTCCAAAATACTGTAAAACGGGAGACAATGGTAGTGATTAATGTTCATAATAGATTTGAAGAGTGTGGGGTAGGAAAATTGACAAGTCAGTTTGTTGAAGGTTATAAAAGGAGTCAGGTGAGTGGAGTGGCTGGTACAAAGTGGTCTGTATTAAAGAGGAGGAGATAGTAAGACTGCAATGAGAGGTTCATCATGAAATGAGGAATGATTGCATGGAGGATTTATTCATGAGCTGACATCAGTTAGAGAACCACTGGAAAACCATCTGGGAGTACTGGACAGCTGTTTCGTCCCAGTTTGGGACTCTTCATCAGTACGCACCCACCGGGATTCGAACCCAGGACCTTCTGGTTACAAGGCGAGCTCGTATACCATTGAGCCACTGGGACCCGATCCAATGGTTCTTGAATTCTAACTTCTGCCAGTTCACGACATAGCGCGACCAATTCGGAATGTCTTCTTCGATGAGTTACTGCTTCATCTTGAACCTGCTGTACCCTACTGGTCACGGCTTCCCACTAGAACCCCAGGTTAACTGCCAGTCACTAGTGAGCATCAGATTGATTTTCAAGTACTGGTTTTGTAGGGATTTTGTTTGATTGCATGGAGGATTTAATCATGATTTAATCTAACTGATGTCAGCTCATGATTAAATCCTCCATGCAATCAAACAAAATCCCTACAAAACCAATACTTGAAAATAAGGAATGTGTGAAATGAAACAGGTGGAGGCATATTTATTGAGAAAAGAGATAATGTCACTAATAATAATAAGTCTGGATAGCATAAATGGAAAATTCAATAGTATTGAGGGAATTTTCGCATGAATGACGAATAATAATAAGCGAAGAAAGAGAAAAATCCAAGAGGGTTAAGGGGAAGGAGCACTCTCTGTGAGAAGAAGAAATCATCAATTCAAGTTCGGCCACGGTAGGAACAGCGGCTGGACGTGTTTCTTTTTTTTAGATACAAAGTTCCGGTTTAGTCGATCTTATTGCAAGAGTTTCAGCTGTGCATAGCAGACGTAAGTGGACTGTACGTGATAACGACTTCAAATAACGACAACGAATATTACATATTTTATAACTGTAAGAACCTGCTGAGAAATTCTCTGTTCAGATTGACTTTTTAATTCATGATATGGGAATATTTCACACCATTAAATCTTACTTTCTATTAGTTGGTAAACTTATTATTATTATTTTTCCCTTGGTTTCCCAATGGAACATAGGGCCTCAAGAACACATCTCTACTTTGTTTTTTTTTTATTTACAGCTTGATTCCACACTGTATTTTTGGTACAAGTATGGAATTTTCAGCATGGATATCGGTAGCCCAAATTTTGCCGGCCGACCATAGATATCAGGTGTGCGCCGGCGTGGGCTCGAACCCCGGACCATGTGCATGGTGGGCGAGAGTCCTAACCACTGTGCCACCGACGCACAAAAAAAATGGAACATAGGGCTTCAAGAACACATCTCTACTTTGTTCTATTCTCCGCCATCCTCTTCAGCTGGGTCTACAGTTGCCCATAATTCCTCATCTCTTCTTCACACGATCTCCTCCGTGTCACCCTCACACCGATGACCCATTCGTCACTTCCCATTTGGATTCCATCTGAGGTCCTGGAGCGTGATGTCATTCAGCAGTCTTCTCAGCATAGAACCCAATCCATCTCCATTTACTGCTACATAGTTGTTGAGCGATCGACTCTTGCCTATGGGTTCGCTCTCACAGTTTCTTGTTACGTATTCTTTCTGGCCGGCCATTTGACCTTCAATATGGAGCCAGAGAAGGAGGCCGCTATTGATGAAGGTCTTTCAACCCGTTGGAAATGCTTTTCGTCACTAACACACAGTCAGTGCAAGTTTCTAACCCGTATAGAAACACTGATGAACTTCAGATTTATGTTTAAAAATACCAATCTTGTCCCCTGTGCTGAGTGTAGACGTTTTTCAAACTGGTTTCAGCTTGATGAGGGTGTATTTTGCCTTTCCGATTCTGGCTGAATTTGACATGTACATCCGTTCCACTGGCCTACAGTTGAAACAATGCTTCCTAGAAAAGTGAAGGCAGGAAATTAACCTCTTTCAAGCCTCACCCATTGAAGATATCATTCATGGTGAATTCAAATGAATTCATTTTATACTAAGACTTGCACTGAAGATGTTTTTTACTGAAGGACAACGAGCGCTTCACAGTTAAACCAATCAGCTCCTCAGAGAATACAAATACTTGCAAATGAAGCTAGTACATTCACTAATCAAAAAACGGATTCTCTGAGGTAGATATTTTAACTGTAGATGTTTCACTGACTTTCCAGACAACCTCTTCAATGCAAAAATCTCAGCATGAAATGAATTTATTTGAATTCTGTAAGAAAACTAGAGACCTTAGTTGTAACTAGTCATAGATTTGCGTTGGTAGTGATCCCTTCATTGTCTTGGAATTCTAATCCTTTTCTTTATTTATTGATAAATTTGGTTTATATTAGTATGCTGAGTACGGATTCTTCTGAGGATCAGGTATCTAGGAATTCCTTGGTATTTTTAGTGTTTCTTCTGTTCAAGATCTGTACATTTTCCTGGTCGAATTCGTGTCTATAGTTGTCAATTTGAATTGATATGAAGGAATGGAAATCACATCTTTTGATGGTTAGTTTTTGTTCGTGTGTGTAAAGATAAAGAGGATGTCCATTTTGACCAGAATAATGTTCTTCACAGTTACTGAGTCTTCCAGTCAACTTGGTATATATTGAAGTGATTTTATAGGTTTGTGGACGATATCTGTTGTAGAAGGTTTCATTGGTCTTGCAGTGATTTCAAAGATGTTCCTCTTATGCGGTATAACGATTTGCTTTCTACTTTCATTGAATAATTTTGAGTTGGTTTGGCTGGGATGAAGGTAGACATCCTTTGACCCAGTTTTGTGGATGTCAGTTAAGTATCAATTCATCTTAATACTCATTATAATAAAGGTTTTTGTATTTCCCAATGAATAAAACAGAGCGAAACGATATTGTTGTTTTTACTGACGTTTCGCTAATTAAACTGCCGCTAATACCTTTATCAAAGAGGTATTATTAAACCGGAATTTACAAAATCCACTCAGCATATATATATAACAAAAAGTTAAGGGGTGAGAAAAATAGATTTAGTTCAACTTAAAAGGACTTATTGAAAGTCAAAATAACAATGAACATCACCAAACAAAATAAAAAAGGTAATAGGGTATCTGTTATTATATCAAAACAAAGTTTACTAACTTGATCATCGCTCGTCAGTCTGGGACCATTTTTCGTTGTCAAGATGGTGAATTGGTAAAGATAACAAAACTAAGTGTAGATTGTTGGATTTGATCAGTGTGTAGAATTATGAAAGTAGTGTGTGTTTACATAGTGAACTTGGTTATCACATTCGTGTTGATTTTACCACTTCATGGGGGAGGGAGGTGTTGTAGGCAGGTCAGATTCTGTTTTAGTCCATCATTTCTATTCAGAAAATTCGGATTCCACTTGATATGAAATGCTACTCATATTAGACGTTCTTTGTGATTTCTGAAGTTTTTCTGGATTATTTCAATATTGTCAAAATCAATTTTTTGGCCTGATTCTATGGCGTGTAGACCTATGGCTGATGATTTTTCAAGTTTTTCTAGTTCAACTGGATTTCTTGGTGGTCGAAGAGATGCTCTACGGTGTTCATTTCTTCTAATTTTGATTCCTCGAGATGTTTGTCCGGTGTAGATTGCATCATATTCCAAGCAGTTTATTTTATAGACACAAGTAGATAGAGAATCTTTCTGGATTTGGTCTATTATCTGGACAAGGTTGTTTTGAAGTGTGTCTGATGTTTTGAAGAAAACTCTAATGTCGAGCTGATTGAGTACTCTTCTGATATCGTCTGACGTCTCTGCTTTATATGGAATGACGATTGATGAAGTTCATGCTTTCGGAGTGCATTTTCGGCCATACTTAATGTCTGTGTTGATTTTGTTGATGAAGTTCCTTGGGTAGTTGTTTTGCTTGAGAGTTTCAGTAATGTTTGATATTTCTTCTTCTTTTTCTTGCTCATCTGTTGACATCAGAGAGTGTTCTGGTCTAAGAAGACTTGAAACAACTGAAATCTTTGCACTGATGGGGTGTGATGAACTGAAGTCTAAATATTTATTGGAGTGGGTTTTCTTCCTGAATATGGATATACTAAAATGTCCGTTTTCCTGTCTCTTAACTAGCAAGGCAGTCTAGAAATGGTAGTTCACCGATGTCTGATTCTGCTTCCGAAGTAAACTGGAATTTTGGAGATATACAGTTGATTTTCTCCAGGAACGAATTGTGTAGATCTCGTTTTAGTACTACAAAAATATCATCCACATATCTTAACCATATTTTAGGAGTGAGTATACTTGAAAAGAAGTTATCTTCGAATCTGTTAATGAAAAGGTCGGCGACTATTGGGGAGACTGGTGAAACCATAGCAACACCATTTGTCTTTGTCTATATAAACTCCCTTTAAATGTAAAATAATTACTTTCTAGACAGAATTTTAAGCTCTTGATTATTTCGCTGGTATCCAATGGACACCCTTGTGATATCGTTGTATCTGATTCTAGTAGACTGGAAATGATGTCAAGACTTTCGGCAATAGGGGTGGATACTAGTGTATATTGAGTTGATATCATAGCTTACCATAATGTCTTTTTTATCAATTTCTCAGTGTTCTATTTGGGATTTGAAATCATATGAATTTTTTACAATATTTTGAGTGTCCTTTTCTAGTGGTTGTAGTACCGAGAGTAAGTATTTAGAGAGGTTGTATGTCGTTGAGTTGGTGAAATCCAATACTGGTCTTAATGGAACTGTGGATTAATATATCTTTGGTTGACCGTAGAATCTGGAAGGCTCATAAGATTGTCTGAATAGAAATGATGGACTTGTAGTGCACATTAAACCCTTGAACTTTTGTTTGAACTGACTCACCCACTCGTTTTGGCACTTCTGCATCTTTTGAGTTTTAACCCTGCTGAACACATCTGGTTCGCTCTCCTGTTGCACTCTCCGAGCCTACCGCCAATCAAGCCACCAGATAAGTTGTATAAACTCCTTATTTATCAAGTTTCGTATCTCATTTGTATAAAATATAACTCTGTCCAGACACACTTATCATATCAAGTCTTTTTACTCTGATTTCGTTCGTCAATACTTACGCGTTAGGTGGAGTACCGCTAAGGGCGTAAAACGGTGAATTTTTTGTAAGAGCGTTTATTTTTGCGGTCTACCCTAGGTCACTACTACTCTTACAGGCTAAAATAGAATCTGACCTGGTTACAACACCTCCCTCACCCATGAAGTGGCAAAATCAACACAAATGTGATAACCAAGTTCACTATGTAAACACACACAACTTTCATAATTCTACACACTGATCAAATCCAACAATCTACACTTAGTTTTGTTATCTTTACCAATTCACCATCTTGACAACGAAAAATGGTCCCAGACTGACGAGCGATGATCAAGTTAGTAAACTTTGTTTTGATATCCTATTATTATATTATTATTGTATCCTTTAGTTCCTAGAGGAACATAGGGCTTCAGCTGCGCACCTTCATTGCCTTCTGTTTTCTGACAACTTTTTCACCCCGCTCCAAGTCTGTCCACATGCTTTCATCTCCTCCTCACATGACCTCCTCCAAGTCACCCTTGCACTGACGACCAACTCGCCGCCTCCCTTTCAGGTTCCACTCGAGCAATGGCTTGTCTAATGATGTTACTTGATGGTTTCCTCAGAGTATGGCCAATCCATCTCCATTTCTTCCTGCCTATTTGTTTCACAATCGGTTCCTGTGTTGGTTCGCTCCCAGAGATCTCTGTTGCTGCTTTTTTCTGGCCGGTCATCTGATCTTGAGTATTGAGCGAAGACAGCTGTTAATGAAGGTCTGTAGCTTGTTTGAAATGCTCTTTATGACGCGCCAAGTCTCTGATCCATATAGTAAGTAGCACTGAATTCACATTGGAGCTGAAAATCCGGATTTTACTTTTGATGCTGAGTGCTGTTCACCTCCACACAGATTTGAGAGTAATGAAAGCTTGTCTTGCTTTTCCTATTCTGGCTTTGATATCCTCGTCAGCTCCGCCTGTAGTTGAAACGATTCTTCCCAGGTAGGTAGGTGAAGGAGGTTGTTTCTTTCAGGTTCTTTCCACTTATGCTGATTGTTGTCTGTTGTTGTTGTTGCTGTTGGTGTCGGCCAGGAATCTTCATCACCTCTGTTTTATCTATGTTCACTTGAAGTCCCATCTTTGATGCTTCTTCTGCCAACTTGTTGCTTTTCACTTGCATATCTTCCAGTTTGTGGGAAATCAGACATATATATGTCATCGGCGAAATCCAGATCCTCCAAGTCTTTTGTGTCAGTCCATTTTATGCCTGTTCCCTCATTGCCCGCTCTTGTTTGTCGCATTATCCAATCTACTGCAATCAGGAAGATCATTGGCGATAGTAGACAGCCTTGTCGCACTCCCGTCCTCACTTCGAAGGCTTCCGTAAGTTTCCCGTTGTGGATTACTTGGCATGCAGCATTGTCGTATAGCTGTTGGATGAGATGTGTAATTGTCGATGGGATGCCATATTACCTTTTTTATTTTGTTTGGTGATGTTCATTGTTATTTTGACTTTCAATATGTCCTCCCTTTTAACTTGATTCAAGTCTATTTTCTCTTTGTAATATATATATATATATATATATATATATATATGCTGAGTGGATTTTGTAAATTCTGGTTTAATAAAGCTATTAGCAGCAGCGTTAAATAGCGAAACGTCAGTAAAAACAACAGCAATATCGTTTTGCTCTGTTTTATTCATTGGGAAATACAAAAAGAAGCCATTATTATAATGAATATCAGATACCACCCAAAGCCCAAATTTTTTCAAACTGTTAAAAGTGAACTTGATGGATTGGACATATCTAAAGATTTTATTAAGTCATAAGAAAAAGGCGTAATAAACGGCGAAGAAAATTTTCTTTTCGACGATTCATTTTGACTTCTTCTTAATACTGTTAAAATTTTAGCCCTATTTTTATTAACCTCATCTTGATTTACAGAAAGAATTAGAAAAGTTGTCGGCTATCTGTGACAAGGAGATGAATGATAAATTCGGTCAAATAGATGATATTGAAAAAATGGAAAATGTTATGGTCAATCCTAAACTGGAAGATTTAACTACAAAAATGTTAATATTACAAGAAGAATTTAATAAAGAAGAGGCAAAAATTGAGGTAGGTTTCTATAATGGTGTATGCTTCAGGGCAATGAATTGAATGTGAAGTTAGTAAACGTACATGGTAATAGAAAAGATTTGTAACTCAGATGATCAGAAAGTTTAAAATCCCAATCAATAGAAAACGGTCAATAAATATCTAAAGATGGTTACCGGGAGACTCATGAAGAAATTTAAATCATTTCACTTTATCCTAAATACTGCGCTGAAGATGTCGTCCAGAAAGACGATGAAAGCTCCGCAATTAAACCAAGGAGCTCAGAGAACACTATCAATTCCAAATACGTACATGGTGTCAATATACTACTAATTGACTGATATGAGTAGTTAACTACCAGCCACATCTAGCAGTTTACCAAAACTAGCTAGCCAGAACTCAAGGGCTTTCGACTGATTCAGTTTTTTGTGGCATGTCAAACTTTGGTAAATGCCTGATGATTACAGGATTTCATCATGAACTGACATTGGTTGGAGAACCATTGGAAAACCTGAGAGTAGTGGACAGCCGCTTCATCCTAGTTTAGGACTCATCGTCAGCACGTACCCACCCACCGGGGAAGTCGTGACCAGTAGGGTGCAGCAGGTTAGGTGTGAGGACAATTACTCGCCAGAGATGACATTGGCTAGTGGTTGCGCTACATTGTGAACTGGCGGAAGTTAGAATTCATGGCCATTGAATTGGCGTGTTCCAATGGCTTAGTGGTCTAATAGCTCGCAGGCCTTGAAATCAGGTCCTTGGTTCGAACCCCGGCGAGTGCCTACTGCTGAAGAGTCCCAAACTAGAACGAAACAGCTGCCTGTTCAGTACTCCCTGTTAGTTTTCCAATGGTTCTCTAGCTGTTGTCAGCTCATGATGAAATCCTGTTACCGATCAACCAAATCTCTACAAACCAATACATGAAAACCCCTAATGAGTTTGGCACCCAGTTATGAGACACCGCTGACGCTTCGATTTGCCTGCATGCATTACTGATTGATACGTGGGGATTTTCAACTACTCATATACAGCAATCAGTAGTATATATATTTTTCGAATAATTTATATTGAGTAGTATGTATAGTATCGTGCGTTTCTGTCTGATCTCTTGATTGTCATTTATCATGTCGCGAAGACTGATTACACATTGCGATGTGAATAATTTCAGCTTTGAAAGGAACTGTGTAAATTGTGAATTGCTAATTTGAAGACAGTTATGCTGGGTGGCGTTCTTCTACTAGACAGCAGCTTAGCCAGTGTCTTGTTACTGAACATCTCCCGTCGTGATGTGGTGGTATCTTAATTTTGTCACATTTAATTGATGGTGGTCAGGTAGTGGAGAAAACGACAGCTTTCAAAGTAATTCATCTCATCCCACCGAATCTTTCCAATAGACTTCGTATTCGTCTGCTGCACACAGATGAGACGATAAGTATTCGAACTATTAAGCGTATGCATTCCAGAAAGGTTCATACAGCCATTATCCATCACTTGTTGGCCTATTAAGACCTAACCAACTGGTTACTTCATCACCACCCCTAACTTATATTTCCAACCCCTCCCTCTCTTATCATCCCTCAATCTTATCACATCTTCATTAATAAACGTGTTTCATTTACTTTCCCTAAAATCTAACATTACGTAATCGGTTCATTTGTTTTTGCTAGCCTTTATCGACTACTTACACCTGAACATTTGTTTGTTCAATAATGCTGTTCTTCATTATTCGTGTTATCACAGGTTGCCTCACCTTTCCATCCTTATTATTGATAAGACCATTATTATTATCATTATTATCATCGTTACTACTATTATGGCTAACTGCACAATTTATATTCACCATCTTATTATCCTATAGACAAAACACCATGAGGATTGGTTTATTATATTTGGGTATTTATTTGTAAAGTTATGTCTGTATATTAGAGTTAAGCCTGATGATAAGATCAAATTGAAAGCACAATATCACTGTTCGCTTAAATGTGTTTTAATATAATTTTGTAACCTCTTTATACTACTTTTAATTATCAAGTGGTGGTTTTGTAGGGATTTGGTTGGATTGTATGGAGGATTTAATCGTGAGCTGACATCAGTTAGAGAACCACTGGAAATCCTGGGAGTACTGGACAGCTGTTTCGTCCTAGTTTGGGACTCCTCATCAGTACGCATCCACACCACCAGGGTTCGAACCCAGGACCTTCTGGTTACAAGGCGAGCTCATATACCATTGAGCCACTGGGACCCGATCCAATGGTTCTTGAATTCTAACTTCTGCCAGTTCACGACATAGCGCGACCACTTCGTAATGTCTTCTTCGATGAGTTACTGCTTCATCTTCGACCTGCTGTACCCTACTGGTCACGGCTTACCACTAGAACCCGGTGGGTGCGTACTGCTGAGGAGTCCCAAACTAGGACGAAACAGCTGTCCAGTACTCCCAGGTTTTCCAGTGGTTCTCTAACTGATGTCAGCTCATGATTAAATCCTCCATACTTTTTATTAGCAAGTAGTTAGTAACCTCTCTTTACTAGATGCTAATCTTATCAGTTAATAATAATGAAGAAGATAATAATTAAAAAATGGCTCCTTGAGGAAAATCTCGGTGAAGAATTTATATCCCTTTTCAGCTAGTTCTTCCTCAACGACTATAAATTAAAATAAATATGCATAAATACATACAATTCCTGTTTCGACATTAAGACAAAAACTTTGTGAGGAGAACATTCTTTAACCATGACTTCCACGCATGCAACATTTCGCTTTATCCACTTATATGACTTTGAGATATGTTTATTGAGAGTGGAAAAGATGCAAAATCTAAATGTCTTCTATCACAGATACCTGTATTCTATCTGTTGTGTTAAATGATATTCTATGGTTAGTAATGTTGAAGGAAAACTGAGTGGAAAGATGTACAACCCTTTCTAGAAAGAAAGAGGAGACAAGACAAGGGGCAGCTTTCAGAGGATACCTGGAAGCCAACAGAAGAAAGAAGAGGAGAATGTGATAAAAGAGAAGATGACTAATCAACGCAAAGATGGACAAAAGAAGGGGAAGCCAAGTTCACTGTAAATTGCACTGAATAAAGAAGGGATGAAGGGTGCTAGGAAAGACAAAAAGTAATTCTACGATACACCGGCTGACATGTGAAATAGAACAGTCAGGCTGCAGATAAAACAGACCCTAGAGCATTTTATCAGATAAGCAGGTCTCTATCTGAGAAGAGATCAACTCAGATGAAACCCATAAAAGATGGTCAAGGGAGCCCCTAATTACCAAGAAGGAGAAACAAATAAAACAATGACCCGATCACTTCAAAGGACTCTTGAATCGACCATCACCTGCAACTCGTCCGGAAATATCATCAAAAGAACTGCTAGCGGACACCAGTCCTCCAAAAATGTAGTTTTGAATGAAATCAAGCTACCGAAGTCTGAGAATTGAGCAGGACCAGATGGAATTCCTCCTGGAGCATTGGAAACGGATCCTGAGATCGCGGCGGATATGCTTACGCCATTATTCTAAAATGTTTATAGAGAATTAATAATACCTAGTGATTTGAAGAAAGGCTAACTTATCAAGCTACGGAGAAAAGAACGACTTAAGGGCCTTGAAGAGATGGCTCCGATTATTAATGCTCTCGTCTACGCCAAATAAAAAAACTTAGCTGAGTTATCTTGAAGAGGATGAATGATACAATTGATACAGAACTCCATCACCCACTGGAACAAGCTGGATTCGGGGAAGGAAAATTATGTGCTGATCAAATTACAACTCTACACACCATCATCGAACAGAGCATAGAATGGTGATCAAATTTCCATCTCATCTTCATTGACTTTGAAAAAAGCCTTCGACTAATTTGATTGCAGTTATGGAGTGAGGTGCCTAAGTCTGAGGATATCCTTAACTTTGGTGGATTGGATTATGCGTGTCACACTGTGAGAAGAGTGAGAAGACAGCAATAAATAAGCCGAACCGAGATAAGAAAACTCTAGAAGGTCTGAATTTCACTCGTGGATGATTTTTGTTTAATGTCACACAAACTGGAAGACTTACAGGCGAAAATTTTAGCGGACTGGCAGAAGAAGCTGGCGGCGAATGCGGGACTTCGAGTGAGTGTAGAAAAGATGGAGATGATGAAGACAACCAACGGGACAGCGATAACAACGAATACGGATCAGCATCAATAGAAGGAAGTTTGACAGAGGTTACTTCCTTCACTAATCTAGTAGCTATGCAGTATTGATCGCTCAAACCACAGACGAAGCGGATGAAGATATCAAAATCAGTCCGATTTGGAAAGAAAAGGTACACCTTCATGAATCCAAAATGATTTTGTAGACTTTCATCAAAAGCTGAGTTTTCTGATTCACATAATGAGGGTCAAATTTCTGGCTAAAAAAGAATTAGCTACAAGAAACTATGAGGAGGAACCAATTACTCAACAGGTATTAAGAGGAAAATATAAATGAACTCGACACACGCTAAGGAAACCATCGAATGACAACGCGCGAGCCAGACCATTGCTAGAGTGGAACCTGAATCGGAAACGATGAGTCAAGCTTTTGTCCGAGAGTGACAATGAGGAGATGACAGACTAACTGGGTAACACTGTGAGACCAGCTGAAGAGGACCGCATACAACAGGACATAAGTGGGGACATGTTGTTGCAACTATATGTTGCACTCGGAATCCTAGGGAACAGTAATAACACTATTGAAGTTTAACGTAGATTACTGGGTAAGGAAGGTAGATCAGTCGATGAAATTGTTTAGTAAAATTGATCAATATGGCTAGGACGCGTGTTGCTCATGTCTAGCCACTGCCTTCCTCTTTGAGCAACGCTGCCTGATTTAAGGTTAACTTGAAAAATATCTAGGGATGTTCGAATCGAAACCTGACATTCCTCAATTAATTTCAAGACTTTTAGATTGACTAAGCGACACAAGGCGGGTTTGACCGGCCGGTGGGGATCGTCTAGTTGATAACAATCTGTGGATTCATGCTGTTGGTGATTATTATTTTCTTCAATTCCTAGAGAAACATAGGGCTTCAGCCACGCGTCTCCATTGAGTTCGGTTCTCTGCCAACTTTTCACCCCACTCAAGGTCTACCCACATGCTTTCATCTCCTCTTCACATGACCACCTCTAAGTCACCCTTGGACGACCGATTCGCCGCTTCCCTTTCGGGTTCCACTCGAGCGATGGCTTGCCTAGTGATGTCACTTGATGGTTTCCTCAGAGTATGGCCAGCTAATCCATCTCCATTTCTTCCTGCATATTTGTTTCACAATCGGTTCCTGATTGGTTCGCTCATTGCCGGAGATCCCTCTCTGCTGCTGTTCTTTTCTGGCCATCTGATCTTGAGTATTGAGTGAAGGCGGCTGTTGTTGAAGGTCTGTAGCTTGTATGAAGTGCTCTTTATGACGCACTGGCCAAGTCTCTGATCCATATAGTAAGTAGCATTGACTTCACACAGGAGTTGGAAATCCGGCTCTTATTTTTCATTCCGAGTGCCATTGATCTGCACACACACTTGAGAGTAATGAAAGCTTGTCTTGCTTTCTCGATCCTTGCTTTTATATCCTCGTCAGTTCCGTCTGTAGTTGAAACGATGCTTCCTCCCACTTATGCTGATTGTTATCTGTTGTTGTTGTTGCTGCTGTTGATGTTGACCAGGAATCTTCATCACCTCTGTTTCCTCTATGTTTACTTGCAGTCATGTCTTCGATGCTTCTTCTGCATACTTGTTGCTTTTCACTTGCATATCTTCCAGTTTGTGGGAAATCATACATATATCAACGGCGAAGTCCAGATTCTCCAAGTTTTTGTGTGAGTCCATTTCATGCCTGTTTCCTCATTGCCACAGTATCCAATATAATTCAATCAGGAAAATCATTAGAGATAGTAGGCAGCCAGCTTGTCTTACTCCCGTCTTTCCTTCGAAGGATTCCTTGAGGTTCCCGTTGTGGATTGCTTGGAATGCAGCACTGTCATACAACTGTTGGATGAGATGTATAATTGTCGGTATCATCCCGTAGTAACGAAGTAGTTTCCAAATCACCTCTCGATCGACGCTATCTACTGAAGGCCTTTTCAAAGTTGATGAAGTTGACGTATAGGGGTGACTGCCATTCCAAGCTTTGTTCAAGGATGATACGTAGTGTGGCGATTTGATCATTACATGACTTGTTACTCCTGATTCCAGCTTGTTTGATTCTCGCCAGGATGAGAGAGAGGCTGTTTGTGATACTGCCCGAAGTCTTTGTCAGTGTCTCGGAATCGTTTCAACTCTTTTTCATATCCCATATCTATAGAATTCTGATGGTTTTTCTTTATCCTGCCCATTTGTGGTGATTAAAGTGTTTTAGAACCTCTTTCCTTTACCCTTGTGTTCTACGTGGAGTATGGTAACTTGAACTGGGGGTGCACTTCTGTACAAAGTTTCCTGTCGAAACTCGATCAGTCAGTCAGTCAGTCAGTGTGACTCGTGGGGTGTTTGATAAGCAATATAGAGAAATGCATCGATTACTTCCCTGTATTCAGACCATAATACAGCTAGTCTAATCTTTAAGCTTATTTTGCTATTTACAATGGAATCCAAATTTTACTACTACTAATTTTTTTTATTCTAATTGTATAAAGGCAAAAATACGTGTTGCACGTGATGATTGTATGGGACAAGTACGTCAGAATACAGTTTATTTAACTCAGCTGTTAATGCTATTCAATGAACATCAACAATTACAAAATGAATTAAATCAAACACAAGGAAGTAAAGTAAGTCATTATTTCATTATTTGTTTTGTTTGTCGTTGTTTTTTTATTCCCTTGGCCACGTTCGCAGTGGAACATCGGGTGGCTGGAAGCTAGAGCTTTGAAGTTTCTCTGGAAGTGGAATCTTTTTTTTACGGGATGGAGTTAGTGGCATCACGCCCAACCTTCCCTCTTTACCAGTTTGATTACTGGCTTAGCGAGGTGTAGGAGTGCAGCGGTACCCGGGGATTAAACCCCGAAACACATGAGGCGTGGTTCAAGGCGAGCTTACTACCAGTGTGCCACCGATGCACATTGTTTTATTATAGATAAGATTTTATTTCGATAAATCACACAGTGGTGTTATACGGTAATATTTACTGATGACCACGTTTCGAGCACAATTCACATGCGATAAAGTATATTCGGAACGAATATTAGTGTTATTAATCAAATACAATCAGTCGTGACTAGTAGGGTGCAGAAGGTTGGGTGTGAGGACAAATACTCGCCACGGAAGACATTGGCTAGCGGTTGGGCTATATCATGAATTGGCAGAAGTTAGAATTCATGCGCCGGTTCGGGTCCCAGTGGCTTAATGATATACGAGCTCACCTTGTAACCAGAATGTCCTGAGTTCGAACCCCGGTGGGTGCGTACTGCTGGCGAGTCCCGAACTAGGACGAAACAGCTGTCCAGTATTCCCAGGATTTCCAGTGGTTTTCTAACTGATGTCAGCTCATGATGAAATCCTGTAATACTCATATTATTATTTCTGAGTGTACTTTATCTTATATTACTGATTTTATTCAAATGTCTAATCATCAGTTTTTACTCATGTATATAAATGAAGCAAGAAGGCTGTGTGAGTGACTTGATATAAGTATGAGTGGCAATAATTTGTGCTCGAAACGTCATCGGTTAATATTACTGTACAACACTGTGTGATTTATCATAATAAAATCTTATTCATAATGGAGTTATACTCTACCATCACAGTGCCCACGTTTTATACTTAAATCCATAAGTCATTCTTCGATTAGATAATTATGTAATGAAATTTTCGTATATGTTTTTTCCTTCACGTTTCCCAGTGGAACATAGGCCTTCAAGCTAGTGGCTTGAAGTTTTGCGTAGCAGTGTTTATTTTACAGGCTGGGGTTGCTAGCCTCATGCCCAACCTTTCTTCTTTACCAGCATTTTTTCTGGCTTAACTAGGTAAAGAAGTGCGTCGGCCGGGGATCAAACCGCAGACCATGTGCATGTTTGGCGAGCGCCCTAATTGCTATGCCACCAACGCGTTCATATATGTACAAGGAAAAACATAAACACTTATAATAATGACTTTATTTGGAATAGCGGGTTTATAGTGAGTACCGATAATTTCACCGTCGACTGTTTAGTGATAAAATGCTGGACAAACACTGACGGTGTAAAGGCTTCATTCCCCGGCCGACTCACTCCTAAACGTCATTTAGCTGGCAGTAAGTCCTGTCAAGAAGAAAAGGTTAGGCTTGAGTGCAGCGATCCCACCCGCTCTGCGGAAATAACACAACTGGCACCGAAGTTTCCGAGATCAACCTTGAAGCCCTCTGTTCTACCCGGAAGGCATGTGAATAAAAAAAGCATAGTTCTCAGCGTGATTTATTTGATGTGTGTAGGTGTGCGGGGATTTTGTTCTGTTCTATTCTAAATAAGCCACAATATTACCAGAATGTTAATCCTATAAGTAGTATTGTCTATTTGGCCAGGAATAATTATTATTATCGTTCCCTTGGGTTCCTAGTGGAAAATAGGGCTTCAACTGAACGTCTCCATTGAGTTCGGTTCTCTGCTAGTTTTCACCTGGATCCATGTTAGTTCATAATTTTTCAACTCCCCTTCACACGATCTCCTCCGTGTCACCCTTGCACTGACGTCCCACACCGCTTCCCTTTCGGCCTGGTTGCACTCGAGCAATGGCCTGACACGAGCGCGATATCACCCAGTGGCCTCCTCAGTGAGCGAGTGTCCAGTTCATCATCTCCACTTTCTCCTGCATATTTGTTGGCTGGCGATTGATTCTTGTTTTGTTTGTTCCCATAGTTCCTTGTTGGTGATGCTCTCCGGCCCGCCCGGCTATCTGATCTTCAGTAGAGATCCAGCGGAGACAGTTGTTAATAAAGGTCGGTCTGCAACAGGCTGTTGTAAATATTCTTTGTGACCCGCCCGCCAAGTTTCTGTCTGATCCGTATAGAAGAACTGACTGACTTGACGTTTGTATTGAAAATCCGACCGAATTTTGTTGTTGATGCTGGCTGAGTGACGAAGATTTCCAGATTGATTTCAGGTTGATGAGTGTGTTTCTCGCTCGCTCGCTCGATTTGACATCCTCGTCCGTTCCGACTTCCTGTAGTTGAGACAATGCTTCCTAGATAAGTGAAGTGAATGAAGTTAACCTCTTTCAAATCCCTCCCGTTGATGGTGATTGGCTCTGGCTGCTGCTGTTGCTGCTGTTGTTGGTTGGTTGGTTAATTTCATAACCTCTGTCTTGTCTATGTTGACATGGAGTCCTGTCTTCGCTGGCTGCTTCTTCGACCAGTTTGTCAGTTTTCGCATGTGAGTCTTCGATTTTGTGTGACATCAAACATAAATCATCCACGCGCGAAATCCAGGTCTTCTAGGTCCTTCACGTCGGTTGGTCCAAGATATCTCTGTCTTCTCGTTTCCCACTGTCTGACGCATAATCCAGTCCACCACAATTAGAAATATCATTGGTGATAATAAGCGAGCCCCTTGTCTGACTCCTGTGTTTACCTCAAACGCCTCGCTGAGATTTCCGTTGTGGATGCCATGACATGTGCCGCCGTTGTCGTACAGCTGTTGAATAAGGTTGATGGATATTTGGGGTACGCCGTAGTACTCGAGTAGTTTCCAAATTACTTGGCGATCAACGCTGTCTCGAAGGCCTTCTCGAAGTCTATAAAGTTGAGGTAGAGGTTTGATCACCATTCCATTCTTCATTCTGTAATGATGATGCGTAGAGTTACGATTTGGTCAGTACATGATTTGCCTTTCCTGAATGCAGCCAGCTTGTTCTGGTCGGAGTTCTGTCTACAGTGCGTCCTTTAGTCTCTCCAGGATGATGCGACTCAGGATTTTACTTGGCGTCGACAGGAGCATGATTCCTCGCCAGTTCTTTCAGAGTCCTCAGTCGCCCTTCTTTGGTAATTTCATGAAGTAACCTTTCCTCCAGTCAGTAGGCACCTTTCCCTCCTTCCAGACCTTTCGCGATAATGGCCACGAAATACACTTTCTGAATTCTTCTGCTAGTTACCAACAAGCAACATGCTATCATGATGATCCTCAGAATTGTTACTGAAATTCGACAAAGTCTACCCTTCGCTTACTTTTACTTGTGAAGAGGAGCAGGAGAATAAACTACATTTTCTGGATGTCTTGCTAAGTAGGAGAGAAGATGGGTCACTTGGGAGAAGTGTGTTTAGAAAAAGCACATTTACAGGGCAATACATACAATTCTTTAGTTACGTGACCACTAAATATAAAAGAAATGTTGTTAAATGTCTTCGAGCAGAGCAAGAAAGATATGTACGAGATGACCTCTTACAAGAGGAATTTGAATATATTCACGATTCTTTGACGGAGATGGGCTGGCTATCCGAGTAGTTTCATAAATAAACATATGAAAACATTGGTGAGAAAACCTGAAACTCAAACTGCACGTAAGAAACCTCTATTTATTAAGTTGCAATTTGCTGGTGACTTGTCTGTCAAGTGAGATTCTATTCCAAAGCCTTTCAGGGAGTATACAAAGAACATTTTACGCAGAACACCTATGTTTGTCATTCTCTAGCCGAAGAATGATTGGGACGCAAACGAAAGATAGATAGATAGATAGTTTTGCCACATCTATGTGCATTTATCAATTCAACTGCACCTGCGGTGACAGTTATGTTGGGCGTACTACTAGACAGCTTAACCAACGTGTTAGTGAAGATCTCCCATCGTGTTTTGTCAAAGGACAGACAAAAGCAATCCGTAGCTCAATTCTGTCACATTTAATTGATAGTGGTCATTTAGTGGAGGAAACGAGAGCTTTCGAGGCAATTCATCGTATCCTTCGAGTTCGTCTACTGCACGCAAATAGCTGAGGCGATAGGCATTCGGACTATTAAATCAGTCCCTTGTTGACCTTCTAAGATATAACCAACTGATGATTCTACACCAACCCTTACTTATATTTTCAACCCCTCCCTCTCTTATCATCCCTCAATCTTATCACATCTTCATTAATAAACGTGTTTCATTTACTTCCCTCACAATCAACCTAGCACTATTTGATCGGTCCATCTGCTTTTTAAATAGCTTTTATCGACCACTACGTCTACCTGAACATTGGTTTGTTTAATAATGCTGTTTTTCATTATTCGTGTTATCACAGATCGCCTCACTTTTTCATCCTTATTATTGATAAGACCATTAGCATTATTATTATTATTATATCGTTACTACCATTATGGCTAACTGCACAATTTATATTCACCATCTTATTATCCTATAGACAAAACACCATGAGGATTGGTTCATCAAATTTGGGTATTTATTTGTAAAGTTATGTCTGTATATTAGAGTTAAGCCTGATGATAAGATCTAATTGAAAGCACAATATCACTGTTCGCTTAAATGTGTTCTTTCTAATATTTCTCATTAGATTGGAGCAATTCATAATTCTTCTGGTTATATAGAACCGAAACAGCTGAAACAACTTGTCCAGTTGGCAAAATTACAAAGTGAAGAAATTCATGCCTTGACAAAAGAAATTCAACAACTTTCAAGATAAAATTATATGCATTCATCGATCGCCGTGTTCTTATCTTTGTGTCTCTGTGTGTGTGTGTGTGTGTGTGATTGTCATATTATGTAATCTCAATCATATTGTCTTTATCAGTAAATTAAATGTATGCTTTATTTGACTAGGAAATGAAAATTACTCAATAAATACTTTACCAGTATTTACCAGAATTTATGTTAGCTGACTTAATCGGTGATTGACCAGTAACACTATTGAGTGACTACTTGAGTGGAATAATATAAACACCGACGGAAGGCGTATGATATGAGTATGATGCAATTAGGATGTATTTTCTTTTTGGACAATTCCCATTTTCATAGCCTGCTTTACAATAATCGTAATTATATTCAACAAAGAGTTCATTAAACCAGTCAGACACTGGAAAAATTTCTTCCAGAAAATATATTTCACCATGAAAAGTGTAGTCTAGAAATCAGAGAGAAAGGAGGCGGGGTTGGTGTGACGTAATGGAAAGATGATTAAGTGTTTTTTTAAAATCCGAATAATAATGCCGTACTATTAGTAGACAATAATAGAGTGATAACAAACTAAGGAATGATGGAAATAATAATTATAATAACACTACCATGCACATGGTCCGAGGTTCGGTCCCCAACCGATGCACTCCTTTACCTTGCTAAGCCAGAAATAATGCTGGTAAAGAGGAAAGGTTGGGCATGGGGCTGGCTAGCAACCCCATCCTGTAAAATAAAATAAACACTGCTACAGTAACTTCAAGCCACTAGCTTGTTGAAGCCCTATATTCCACTGGGAACGTGAAGGAAAAATTATTTATTTTTATTATTATTTATTCATATTTTGATGTGGTTGTGTTCTCTGAGCTGGATAGTTGATTTGCGAAGTTTTAATCGCCCTGCTAGGCGACATCTTCAGGAATACTTCAATTTCTTGAAGTGAGCTTTTAGATTTCTCCACGAGTTTATTAATCATCTCTCCTGATGACCTTGGACGTGATTGGTTGTTGTTTTTGTGTGTTTTCACCCCCCGCTAGGCAGCTACTTGTATTGGAACTGATTGTTTCTTTGACTTGAACTTTGATCCTTTGTGTGTGTGAGGGATTCGATCCCCGCCCGACGTACACCGGATATCAATGGATGGCCTGCTAAATTTGGGCTACTGATATTACATGATATTACCATTGCGTGATTATTTAGGTGAAATAAACACCGAAGGAAGGTGTGATATGAGTATGATGTAATTAGGATGTTTTTGCTTTTTTCGACGATTCATATCTTCATAAGCTGCTGTACAATCGTAATTATATTTAACAAAGAAATCATAAGACGAACAATCAGATACTGGTAAAATTTGTCCTTGAAAAATGTATTATATAATGTATAAGGTATAACCTAGAATGGATGACTAATTGTAAGTTAGAAAAGAGGCAACATTTGGCATGACGTAATAGGTGTAAGAAAATGACTAATCAATAAGCTTGTGTAGAATGAACAGGAACAAGTAGAAAGGCGATAAAGTGTTTTTCCATTATGGGTAAATTTTGTTTTGATAGAGTCTCACAGTGTTATACAGTAATGTTTACTGATGACCAAGTTTCGAGCACAATTTATCGCCGCTCATTATCATATCAAGGCACTACTCACACGATGTCCTAACTTCATTTATATAGTTCCATTATTTTTCTCTTGATTTTCACTTGATTTGATTGGTAATAGTATTTTCCATATTTCAGGTATGAGTGATGAGTCATTCCTATTGCATGTGTTGTGTTGGGTGTAAACTCAATGAACAAGACAGGATTCAGTAATCAACCTCTCTCTCCACCTACCTAGATTACTGTTTAGAACTTTAACCCTCTCCCACCCACCTTATTGTGTGGTTGTGTGTTAGCGCATGCATTGCAATTGCTGAGCTTTTTCTAAATTACTTATCTTCTCGGGGTCAACCATTCTTACTTTAGCTAAATTCTTATGCTCTGACAATCTGACTACTCTCGACCTACTAGTTTGACCTATGTAGTCGACCTCACAGTCATTGCATGGTATTTTGTAAATAATATTATTTTGTCTAATTGGGTCAACTGACAGGGTCCTTTAACCTACAGAGCTTCTGATGAATTTTATAGGATAGTTGAATAACTATCCTATAGTTGAATAACTACCCTATAAATTTCATTAGGAAGATCATTAAAGGCGAAAAACAAAATAAAAAGAAAAATAATTGTGAAACTAGTAATAATAACATAAATAAGAAAGAATATAAGTCATCCACAGTTATACCATATAAAGAGGGGACATCTGAAACCCTACGTATGATTCTGAATAAAACAGGAATTAGAGTGCCTTTCAAACCTATAAACTCACTCAGGGTCAAGCTCTGTAGGCTAAAAGACCCGGTGGAGCCAATTAAACGAAATAATTCAATTTACAAAATACCCTGCAGTGACTGTGAGTGACGTCAACTACATAGGTCAGTCAAACTAGTAGGTCGAGGGTAGTCAGATTGTTAGAACATAAGAATTTAGCTAAGGTAAGAATGGTTGACCCTGAAAAAATAAGTAATTTAGAAAAAAGCTCAGCCATTGCAATGCATGCGCTAACACACAACCACACAATAATGTGGGTGGGAGAGGGTTAAAATTCTAAACAGTAATCTAGGTAGGTGGAGATAGAGAGAGGTTGATTACTGAATCCTGCCTGGTTCATTGAGTTTACACCCAACACAACACATGCAATAGGAATGACTCATCACTCATACCTGAAATATGGAAAATACTACTACCAATCAAATCAAGTGAAAAACAATGGAACTATATAAATGAAGTTAGGACGTCGTGTGAGTAGTGCCTTGATATGATTATGAGCAGTAATAGTAAATTGTGCTCGAAACGTGGTCATCAGTAAACATTACTGTATAACACTGTGAGACTTTATCAAAACAAAATTTACCCATAATGGAATTACACTCTACCGCCACAGTGCACAAGTTTTATTCTTATATCAATGATAAAGTGTTTTTATATAAAACCTGTATGAAAAAACAATATTACTGATCAGCAGCAATAGAGTGATAATAAAATATGGATGGTGGGAATAGTAATAATAATAATAATAATAATGGTAAGCTTACATAATAAAAAAGAAGCAAAATTATGGTAAGAACGTTACTGTGGCCACGGTAGGGCGAGTGAATGTATTTATCACTTTCAGATTCAGAGGTCCAGTTTCAGATCCCGAATAGCTAGTGATTCAGCTATGTACAAATAAAGTATTCAAAGTCTCTTTATACGATATTGAGGAGCTCTGTGTAGCACTGTGAAGCATTCATGAGGGAGTGTTTGGTAGCCAGAGATGACAAGGTGTATGAGGATAGAGCTGCTGCTATTCTTCGTTTCTCCTCTGGCTGGCTAGGCAAGCTAAATACATTTACGGACATGACGTTGCGTACTGCCGTGTAAAGTTTATCTGCCGTAAAAGTAAGCATGGGGACTTTGGAATATCATCATGATGTTTGTTTACTAGAGGATAAGTTGGCTGAAAGAGGAATAAATAGACCACAGAAAAGGCTCTTTTACTTTGTGGAGGGGAGAGGGGGAAGGATGAATTCATCTTCTTTATTTTCAAACATTGGTTTGTAGGGATTTGATTTATTCGTTACAGGATTTCATCATGACCTGACATTGATTGTTAGAGAACCATTGGAAAATCAGCTGGGAGTACTGGCCAGCTGTTTGGAACTCTCAGAATTTCCAAGGGTTGTCTAGCAACCAATGTCAGCTTATGATACTATCCTGTAACCAATCAATCAAATCCCTACAAACCAGTATTTGAATATCAATGACATGCTCACCAGCAACTAGCCCTATTCGGGTAGGTAGTTACCTGGGGTTCTAGTGCGATGTCGTAACCGGTAGGTTGCAGCAGATCGGGTGTGAGGGCAAATACTCGCCAGAGATGACATTGGCAAGCGGTCGCGCTATGTCGTATATTTGAAAAAGTTAGAATTCATGGACTGGCCATTGGATTGGTGGGTTCTAGTGGCTTAATGGTCTACGGGCTCGCTCGCCTTGTGTGCGTGCTACTGAGGAGTTCTAAACTAGGATGAAACGGTTATGCAGTTCTCCGTGTTGATCTCCAGTAGTTCTCTAACCAGTGTCTGCTCATGATGAAACACTGTAATCATCTTCTTTAGTTGTACAATTAAATTTATGTGCGATATTTTCACACCTAAGAGAAGCTCGATAAGGGTGTAAAAGATGAACAATTTAGTGATTGACATTTAGTCAGGTTGAACATAAAGAATCGAAGGCAAAGATGATAGATATTACGTAAGAGTTCAGAAGATGGATGAATGGGGCTTTCGCATTGCATCAGGCGGGGGGAGGGGGGCGAAGACACACCGTCTCTGTTCTTCACTTTGTTAATCACTTTGAATAAGGATCTTCTTAAAATGGAATGACTAGTGCCACACTGTCTACAGAGCCATTTCTACCATTCTGCAACCATGTGAGATAGTGTTGTTGAACTCTTCTAGACAGGATACGCATTAAAACATCAAATTATCAAGCTCAACAGGGGCAGATAAATTGATTTACACGTATATATGCACATAGAAGCGTTCTGATGCGAGATATTGTCTTTCTGACTTTTGGAGACCACTGAAGAAGTTAGAGGAGTAGTTCTTCTCAGCGATGCTGAAATTCATCTCAGGTTAGATCTCCCCTGAAATCAAGCTTCATGTAAAGTTTCGTTTATGGCACGAACGATATCTCATTTTTTTTGAGTTTCCAATAACAAAACTCCATGGATATCCATAAGTTGACTGAAAATTTCCTGCATCTTGAAGATTTCTCAGCGTAAAACTGGACGCACATAATTCTGTTGATGAAATCAGATAGAATTAGATTTTCCTATTTATGACCTCGTGAATAAGAAGGCATGAATAATCTGGAACCATGATGACAGATCTGACCGGTGTTTGTGGATTTTAGTATTTCATTCCCAAATATTAATTGATGATGGGTTATTTACCTATATGTCTAATTCAATTTTAGATTTTCCGTTTTCGATTTATTGGACCAAAGTGCCCGGAAATCGTCAAAGCATCTGCACAAGAAGCCAACATATGAGCCTGAGACTGAGCACTTCGTTCCAATCAATCGATGGGAAAATCTAAAATT